GACAAGAGAAATGTGTATGATCGAATCTTAGACTTGCCAATGTAACTTTTAGGATATTATGAAACCTTAAATAATTTGATATGTCACTTGCCCAGAGGCACGAGGCATACACAACTATTGAACTATTTCAATAAAAAAAATGATCTAGTAATACTTTCAATGTACTACTTCGGAATTAGATTATCTTAGTCCGTGGTACTACTGAATGTATCAAACGGGTTCAATAATTGCATATAACACGAATATTTAGCCTAGTGGCATATCAAATTATTGAACGAGTTTAATACATTTCGTATTATGTTGACACAAGTGTTAAGAATTTTTTATCACATACTGTAGTTTATATTATCAGAAAATCTACAATTCACTATTCATATATGGAAATCTAGCAAAGACAGTTGTGTTAATACACGGTTGTGTAATGATGTTTATATGCATATTCGTATTTCACAAGATACTTTGTTCATATCAATGCCACTTATTTACCATCATCCCTTCAACGTTTTTAAATAACTCGCGTTTAATTCATTTCCGTTAAATGTACACTAGATCGCTTTAAAATGACCAAGTAAAAACAAATTTGGTATATTACGTAAAAAGTCCATGATGACAACGAACAATTAGATGGTCAATCATGCTAAAAGCTGATGTGGTAAAATGCTATTTACTTTGTGCTGCGTAACACGTAAATGTGATAACGTTATTATAACATGATGATTAACGGGTTGAAATGTTGGTTCATGAACGCATTGAAGGATGTTTTAGCACGTCAGTATTTAACGTGATAGTGTTTTCATGAATCAGGAAACATAAATGACATTCAAATTGCCCGATTCTTGGCATTACACACGCAGGGATTTTTTCCTTACACTTTTTTCTTCACTTGCTCTGTACCAATCAAGGCCTGTGAGATACTCTTTTTGTCGTAATAAATAACCAATATTGTTGAAATTAAAGATCGTATTGTTGTTAATTGTGAGTTTTTCATAATGCGGGGTTTTAGCATGTCAGTCGTTTCAAAGGGTCATAAATTCATCATTAATATTCGTTAAATTAAACTTACTTGACACTTCCTTTCATGGTGAAATGTCTCAAACAAAATAATGATCCCTGTAAAGAAGACATTAAAAATATACAGTTGCATAAATGATACCAACATTATCCGTTTAGCTTCCATTTGTAGTATCGATATCGTGGACCTTAACTTTTGACCTACCCCAGTCTTATTCAAACTTGTGAAGAAAAAAATCCATCGAAATTTATAGTTATACAACATGATGACAAGATATTTTGATAAACTTCTATTTTAAGGTAATTTCGACCTTGACCTTTGAGCGGATGGCCGGGCGCAATCATTATCATTGGTAATGTTCGTGCATTGAGGTTGATGTTTCCTTAGATCCGGGTCACTTTTCTACGGGGTCACTTTTTCACAGGACGAATTAAAATATAAAGTTAGGGGGTATGTTTTCTACGACTGCCCGGGTAGGTTTTCTACGTAGAGAAATGACCCCGGGTAAGGTTTCTATCGTAGAAAAATAACCCCCGGGTAGGTTTTCTACGCGGGTAACTTTTCATGTTACACCGGAAAGCATTGAGCAAATTGGAAATCAGCCATGACCATACAGAGAAGACCCAGTAACAATCGTCTTAGTTTGCTTAATTGCCCTCATTCATTACCCATACAATATGCTGTCGTTTGTTAAATAAAACAAGAGATATGCCACTGCGTCAACACACAAAGAGATGAACTATACCACAGTTTAAATAAAGAAGGACGAACTATCCTACAATACAAAAACAACATAAAGACAGGCTATTTAAGCAATACACTGCATAGATGTGTCCGGTTCATTGCTTATACTTACATTTTCATAATGAGAATTCGCAAAAAAGTATTTATGTCATTTCCAACTTTCAAATTTCCCGCTTATTACTGTCAGGTCAGGTCAATATCTAGAGCGGCACACAGATAACTCACCGTTGCCAAAGTCATACCATTAGTCTTCAACTACTACTGAAAACAGCAGACGTCACGCGCTATTTCCCGTACACAATTGAAAAGACTCCGCAACTTTCGTTAATAATTCATTTGTTTTTAATTGATATAGATATCATATTCTCGATTCATTAAATAGTAACAAATAACATTTTGTAAGTAACTAATCAAGGGTCGTCAAACATTTCCCGATTTTATTGCGACCTATATCCGGCGCCACACTCAACGGAAGCCCGCAGTAATCAGGTCAGAGTTATATTTGCCGTCCGGCATGTTGTTGATTTTGATCGTGAAACCGGAGAAGGTTGAATTGGTGAAAAGTCCAGGCGTAAAAATGTTTGTTGATCACACAGACACATGAGACAGGCAGCTGGTGTTCGGGATCAAAGCAGAAGATACCGATAAGGTCGGTAGTGACACTGTTAAGACGCTCGGAGGTGCAAAGACCAACTTCAGTTATAGTCTCATAAGATGAAGCTGCTATTGGCAGTACTTTAGTAGTAATATAGAAGAGCTTTGCCACACCAAATGTAAATATATAGTAGTCAGCAGTACTTACTATGGTATGTCTCGTCGCCACGGCCTCTGATCAGTCGAAAAAAAGTATGGGTAGATCTTGCTCAAATTTCATATGTAGGTCTATTTTTGCACTCCGAACATAACTGCGGGGGATTGGGGGACTTCTGTAATGTTCCCCGAAGACAATTAGTACTTGTTTTTAAATGAAATAGACAACAACACCAAAAAACCGCTAGATCTACAACCGACTATGCACAAGAGTAAAATGTGCCATAGCGTTAACACAAGAACCATTTAAACTGTTAGGCTATTACATAAGAGGCCACTCAAGCCTGTATAGGGTGGCATGTGGTTTAATATAGTTCGTAAGAGTGCATACTAGTGGAACCGTTCAAAGCATGTTGTCATAAAGGTTGAGTTGCTTTGCGGGATTCTTCAATTCTTCAAATCTATGTTGTGTGTCTTGTTGAACCATTCAAAGTGCTGTATTGTGTCGTAATGATCATTCAAAACGTTGTATGATGAGTGAAACTCCCCCCCCCGACCCCACATACCCCACACACACCCCCACACACAAGTGATTGTACATTGGTAACAGGTACAGTATGACTTAAATGAATTACACTTTATCATACAGTATTGGTGATGGTAGGGGCCAAAACGTTGGAAATCAAATTAGTCTAAGCTACTGTTTAAACAGGAGAGTTGCATTAAACCCTTAATTTTATGAATTTAAATAATATGGGTTAATTTCAAATTAATTAATTAATTAAGGGTGTATATTACGAACCGTGCCACTAATTAAAAGGTATTACTGAGGATATCAAGGTTACGGAAAACCCAAAAGACTAAAAAATCCACCAGTCGAGTACCACATTGTATCTTAAAGGTGAACGCAACACAAACATGTGATGCCACATCTTAAAAAAATGGCAACAGATACAGTATACCAAAGATGGATAACACATCATTATAAAGCTGTTTCCTCAATCTAGGGCTCATCCGTGATTCCGGGGATCAAAATGTTGGAATTCCAAATTGGTGTAAACTACAGTTGAAACAGAAGGGGGATATACCTCTTTATGTATACTTTACTTGTTATTCGATTACATGTCACATTGTCAATTGCTTTTATTATCAAATAGTTACTGTATACAATGACACTCACTCAATGACCCTTTTCCCGTTAACTGTAATTATTACATAAACTTACCATAGAACGGGAGAAGTTTCCGTGACGTAGACATAACAAATTGAATGTTTTTTGACATCATCTACTGTAGATGTTTGCAGGTTTAACCAAGGGTTATGCAAATTTCATGCTATTACTTTTCCTATACTAATCATACGTTGATGTGTTTATAAAATGATCCTACCATCTTATTTGTGTGCAAATAAATTATTACGGTCAGACATTTTGATGAAAGTGAGTGAAGATATTCAGATCAGTAATTAAGACATGTTTTCATGGTTTGTGTACATAGCCGTATCGCTTTGTAGATAAAAGCACATTTATTTTTGATGATTTAAATCCGTCTAAAGCTTTTAGGGACCTCCTATAGAGTTCACAAATAGAATTAACGAATACATCCGCTTTGCCATTGACAATCATACATGAGACATAGGAACACTAGTATCGTACATAGAGGTAACAACCTACTTTTGGTATGTACATATATGTACCCCTCTCAATTAGAGCTTAGTATGCAAGGTCATACCAGGTTTCGGCATGTTATAACATGTTCTTTGACACATTACCCTGTTATCTAAACAACATTTAATAAGCCTTTTGCTGCACACGTACCAGTTTCCGACCTTGAGATTACATCGCAGATAAGATTACTTAATGAAACGTTACAAACTCGTCCGACATGTATTACGCACGCGTAGTAATAAACTGCTGCATGTTCGTATTATTGTTTGCAGGTCGCGATCAATACCAAGATGTGTCGCTTTGCCTGAACATTAAAATATGAGGTACAAGTAAAGTGTATATGATAGTTTAAGGATAGGCTCATTGTACATGTACCATTGTGTCAATTTAGGGCAAACAAAATCTTGCTCTTTCGTTGTCTTGACCTTACACGAGAGCAAAACATATTTTAGCTCAAAGTGGAATGAGGTTATGGGTAGATTTTCACTGGATTTATTTTCCTATTATCTGAGGTTTTACATGACTACACATCATAATGCAATGTCTTGCCGTCTTATTTTAGACAGTTTCAGTAATTAAAAAAAAAAGGTAAAGTCATATGGTATTTTTGTTGTCGATGTGATAAAATTGGTATATTTGACTTTCTGAAATGTTTCGACAACTGACAAACTGTTCAGATGATGTTTTTAGATTTCCGCTGAACTTTTTAAATCTAAGACTTAATATAGAGCAAACCATTCATGAAATGGATGGATATAAAACAGCCAATTGTACATTACGCATACATGTTTCTCCCTTTCCTAATGTAAGCAACAAATGAAACACGTGTTTCCAAGTTTGTATATTCAGTATTTATACAATGTCAGCATGCCATCAATATTCAGTAGCATACAATAACATACGAACATAGACCGAGATTAAAACTATTTTTTAATACAATTAATGAGATTCAATTTAATTGCAGTCTTTGAATATCAAAAGTTCAATTCCATGCCATAAACACGCTCACAAATTAGTTTTAGGACGATTCTGCACCCATGCTTTGATTTTCGGGATGGACCCCACTCGATTTGAGTGCTCTTTCAGTGTGGTTTTTTTTTATCAAAGATATCTGTCCCGGTGTTTTTCATAGCAATTTCGGCTATAAAATCAAATGTGTTATACACTGCAAGATCAGCAATCGTCATCTGAAACAAAAAAATCTTTTATTAGATAAAATAATAAAATGAAATAAGATAAAAAAAAGAGTTGTTTACAATGCGTGATTTGACTGGATACGGACCGGGAATCTTCGATAAGGACATTGCTCGATCGTATTGAACACCGATCACTGCACTTAGGTTTCTAACCGAAACATGAAAGTTCTATAGCACGAAGATAGCTGTTTGATTGATCTCAGGTGAATAAAACTGGCAAGGCTGATACCTGTCCTATGAAGATTACAAAGGAGTGACGCCCGACTTCAAAGCCTGTCAATGTTTACCGTTACCTGATCGCGTGATTCTTTTGAGGTATATCAAAGGATCGAAGTAGTTTTCTTGTCTCAACAACAAGGTGGCGCACACTGAGCCTTCAATTTTGCTATGACATATTCTAGGGGTGCAGAGAGCGAAAATGGGCGAAACCCCTGGATATCGCGGATGCCGTAGGTGGGGAGCGTAGTTTTATTGACAAAATCAAATTAATTCAATTTTTGTATTAAATAGTTAGCTGTAAGCATTCCTTGCATTGCCTTGATTTATTAACTTAAAACGATCAGTGATATAGTGAAATCTGAAACTACACACGAAACGTACGTTTTTCATTCACAAAATCACAATGCCGTAGGAGTAATCTAAATCCAAAGTTGACGTTTTAAATCCTTGATAACGGAAGGTCAAGAAACTATCCTAAATATTTACTTTCTCAGCAAACAGTCTGCGCATACGCCAGAAATGGCGGCCACGTCTGAAAGCATATTTCTCATTGGTTAGTTTGCTTTAGAGTGAAACGTCATGGAAACAGGCCGACAAACTAAGCATGGTGCTTTACCAGGATTTACCGCTTAGTTGTAGGGAGATAAATATTATGTTTCTTAAAAATATCAACATCGTATTGGTTGAAGTGGGTTTAATTTGGGAGATGATATCGTTTTTATTTCGTGTCGACACGAGACTGGCTGGAGAGCATAAGAGGCCAGCGTGGCTTATATTGCTTACCCGCTATTTTACTCATGCTTCCCCTAAAATTCATAATGAACTATTCCAACATTTGGATTGGAAGAGTTAAAATGTGTCTTCATGATGGAATGAGTTGAAGTTGTTAGCAAATACAGTTACTTTCTCTTATTACTTTGTTTACCTTTATTGACGATCATAACATTATACCACAGTAAATTAAATTATATGTGAATAAGATTTGTTTGAACAAATTTGTAAGCTTTCGCTCCGTTTAGTACAGGCCGAATAGTCATGTGACGATTTATACACCATTTGAATATTGGCCGAGTTCATTTATTTGAATGAAAAGAGTTAAACTTCATCCCAGCAAATTACATAATCAAGTCTCGTGGACTCACTCAAGGACTCGCTGACCATAAGAAGATGGTGTTTGAAGATTCTAACACGTAAGGCTCCTTTGAGTTTGAATGCATATCACGGGTACTCCTTTGAACAATGTTCACAGCGCTTTATACAGGGAAAAATTTTGGAAAAGAATTTGTGTAAAATTTTGAAACGTTTGATATTCATGAACTTGAAAATGGATCAGGTTTATTCTACTACAGACCTTAGCTTAAGCATGCAATATATATATATCATTACCCCAGGGCTTATCATCGTACGTGTATATAGGTAGCTGTTATCTAAAGAGAAAGGTTAGGTAACTTGCTTGGGTGAGGAATGGGTTTTAACTGTCTCGTGTTGGTACATTGTACATAGCAGGGGGTAGTTGTGTGTTGCAGGAGAATAAGAGGGAAATATATCTATATCTTGAGTAAAGCGAATGGGGAATACATGTCTCTGATGAGAGGTGGATTATTGTCTTGTTTGGGATACTAACTTGTGAATTTCGGGAAATAGCGGCATTACATGCCAAAAGATATATTGTCTGATCAAAGGTCGGATGAGAGAGGGTTGTAACAGTCTGGTGGGATAGACTTGTCGGTTAAATTGTTATTACGCTGGAGACATATACATATATATATATATATTGATAACGGTTAACGGCAGATATATGTCTGCTTGTGGACAGAAAATACGTAATGTGTAGAAATGATTGAAGTTTTTTGTGTGCGAAATAACAGGATAAACTATCCGGTGTGTACAGACAACATTAATATTTATGTTAAATGTAAGGGAAGATAAATCCTGTTCAAAGTGAATGAAACCAAAGTAACTGACTAATATGTAACTAATACATTGTTTTTACCTTTGATCCAACCATCCAGTCCTTTTTTTTCTAGCATTTTCTCAAAGGGTGAGAGTATCAGAACAGTGATGGTATGGGATAGTGGTATTAAAGAGTTGATATTGAATAATTTTACATTGTTGACGTTGTTATTAGCCCCCCGGTTCCAGTGGTGCGGGGAAATAGGTTTGCTCTCCGTCCGTCCGACCTTCCTTCCTTCCGTCCTTCCTCCCAATCAGTCTGTCCGGGGCATATCTCTATACTATTTCCCCTAGAGTAAACAGGGTTAGTGTACAAGGACATCTTGGGAAGGCATAGTGCAGATTCCAAGAACAAGGTCAATGTGGCCTATGACTTGACCTTTGACCTGAACTTTAAAACAAGTTTGTCTGGGGCATGTCTTCTGTACTATTTTACATGGAGTAACCAGGTTGTGTACAAGTACATCTTGGAATAGCAAACTACAAGAATTAGCTCACTGTGACCTTTGACTTGAACTTTGATCTTAACTTTTGAAACAAAAAGTTTGCCCATGTCATATCTTCTGTACTGTTGGAGTAACCAGCTTTGGTGTACAAGGACATCTTTGAATGACGGATTGCAAGAAGTAGGTCAGTCACTATATCACCACTATGACCTATGCTTCCTGACATAAGTGTAATGTTTTTTAAATATAGAAAACAGTACCGGTTGGAGACAATGAATTGCCCTGTACTTCTCTACCTTATTTAATGTTGCGGGGATACGGTTGAAGGGGTACATAAAATGAGTCAATAAGTACGGAGGATAGTATAGATGTGATTAGGTTGGACAGTACTATTTGACAATGATGAAGTTATAAGATAAGCATACATACCGAATACCCTCGCCACGTGGCGTATCATTGCACCGCTCTGTGCAGTTATCTTGCCATCGACCTCCAAGATAGGAAGTTTGCCCTGTGGTAGTGCTGTAATAGAAACATACAATGTACTTGATTAAGAAATATCTACAGTTCGAAATCACGAATGTTCATGTATTGCTCAACATGGAAACCAAGCCATGTCAACAATTACCTTTGTATAATAATCCACACTACAGGGAATCAATTGAACGGTTGACAATAAACAGCTATTAACTATTTTAAGAGACACATTATGGGATTGCTGTCTCTGTGACAATTCCTCAAAATTACTTCAAGTTGATACCGACAGACCTTAGCATATCATGCATTATTGTGTGTGTGAGATCAGTTTGTCCTCCTGATTTTCCGACAGACCGTAGAACAACATACATTGTTTTGGTCGCTTTATATTTTGGATAACCCCATACGTTACCGACAACCCACAGTACAGATACAATAAACTATTACTTAAACTATAGCAATATTGTGTAAAGGACGTCACCTCAGGTTTACTTACTAGTTTATTGACAGATCATAGGGTATCACACAATATAGCGTAACTGTTTGACGTAACTATACAATATTCTCATCAACTCAGTATTATATACAAAATGACTAAAGACACATACTGATAATATAAAATTACCAGAAAACCACATCTTGAATGATACTTAGACGTTATCTCTTATCAGTGGAAACCGGTCTGAATCGGTTTTTCGAGGGTGTATTTTGTGAAAAGCCATTCCTAAGTTGGTTTCCTAGCCGCCCATTGATCTGAATCCAGTCTGTTATCCTCAAATTCCTGTTCTGCAACAGTCAATGCCAATCTTGTCAACTCGGCTCTTCCCCTACCATTGAAATACGTTACTTTGTAGGAGGTCATGTTGCAAATTGTTCGTCTCTCCGACTTGGTAGTACAATGTAGTAACGTGAAAAATGATGTCTTGACGTCTGTGTTGTGCAGTGCCTTCTCATATGCGGCAAATGATGTACACACACGTAGCTCTGGGTAGTTTCTAGACCGGAACGCTTGATTTTAATAACAAAGAACTGTGGAATGAATGGGTGTTGGTGTAAGTGCACCATGATATGTAAGCTTGCAATATGCAACGACGGGCCATCACCAATTTCTATTTTAAAACTTTGAATTCGAATGATATATGTCAAATGTCAATATAATTAATGCAGAGCTCATCACCTAAACCACCAAAACAATTCATGTACAATATGCTTGTCATTGATTAATTGACTGGTCAGGCAGTGTAAATCTTGTATGTATATATTTCTTATCTTTCTAATTACATGATTAAAACATATTTTTCATTTGTACATAACGTTTTGATGTAGTTATAGCTGTTACAATAATACAAAAGCACGATAGAAAGGGATTTGATGTAAAAAAATAATAGCTAATTAAACTCATCTGCCTTATGGGTATCTAATGTTGTACTTGGCAGCTTTGATGTTTAAATCTTGTATCTATATGTACTTAAAGGAAACACCATATCTCCAATATAATCCTTATCTGAGCAGGTGTGTAACGGGCACCTCTCCTGTCCTTTTTGTGTAAACAACCATTATTCGATCGACCGTACTAGAAGCATCGTTACTGTTTTTCACCTTTTCTATCCTGGGGATTTTCCACTGCTTGCGTATAAAAAGACAGGCGTGTACACACAGGCATATACCTTTTATAGATATAAGGTGAAAAATGAGCCTCATATGGAAATGGTCTCCTTGTTTACAATCCGGGGAAGATTACATTTAGATACTGAACCTGTTAAACAGGTAGTATATTACATGCTTCAGCATATTACAAAGTTGTTGCGTCAAAATAACAATAGTTACATTGTGTACATTAAAAGAGCATTGCCACAACACATGAACATGACAAATGGATCAGTAACTGAATTAGCTTCCCTAGTGTGTGAGCTTATCAGATGGTGCGTATAAATATCGTGCGGTACGGAAATGTTATTTGTTCTGTAGCATAAAGGGCTATCAGATGTTTTAAACAAATGTCATTGCAATACTTCAAGGTCACATATATAACATGTGGAAAAATATTTCAACAAATATGTTCTATGGAACTTGGAGGTCTTGATTTAAATTTCACTTGCTATGGTGAATGACTATCATGTCTATAATACAGGGTAATACAGTGTTGATGTTTTTAAACTACCGATTTTACCATTGTGTTTAGAAACCTGTTTTTAGGTCTGTTCGGTGCTGGGAGTTATAAGAAGTATTTAATGAATTACCTGAACCTATTTGAAGCTTACTGGCTGCAAATGTATTAAAATTTTTCAGTTTTTTTCTCTCCACAAAACTGTGAGGTATATAGGAACGCGTTTAGTCTGTAACATGATATGGAGAAGGCTGTCATTTTTGCTCAAATAAATGACTTCGCTCAAAGTAACAGAAGTCTATCATGGGTATTCGAATGAAACGGTGGTCAATTGTGTAAAAAAAAATCCAGCTAAATTCCCCCAATGAACAACCCTGTAGGTGAATTAAGTTATACACGAGAGTGTAGTGGAACATGATGGTCCGGTAAATCTTACTAACGAGGTCACACATTACGCTTTGAGAGTTTGAAGTGTTACCGAGAAGTAGGGAGATCTACCTTTGTTGTCTGATTAAAAAAATGTCTATAAGCCATTAGGTTAGGCTTATAACACAGTGTGAATATAACTAACTTAGTCACTACTCATATTTGATAGACAAGGACACGAGCAAAGCGGTTTAAAATAGAGGGAACCCCCTACCACAGGGACCCGAAATTTTGTTACAACTACATATGTATATTTGGACCACAACTGATGTGTTAAGAGTACTATTATACTCTCGGTCAAAATGTCACCCTACTGATGACAGATGTCGAAAAATTGACTAACCTTACTTCATCGTATCAAAACCTATATTTCTAGTTGATGTACAATTGGTGCTTGTTACCGTTAGATTTATTGATAATTTTTCGTTTAGAAACCTCATATATGAACAAACGATGCATTCTCCTTCCAGTTACACCATCTCGACATCACGCACCATTTCGATCTCTCAAACTTGTTCGTAGTCATAGAACCTCTTTCTCCATAAACCCAGTATAGTTTTATGAATATATTAATGAACTTCCCGACACAGTGAGATCGGATAAAACCTTCCTCAGTTTAGGTCTTAATATAGCTGTAACAAAATCTTAGGTCCCTATTCCTCTTACGTCTTCTGTAATGCAGATGAATAAGTCACCAAAGAACAATGCCCTTTTGACCTAGACTGTAGATTTGCCAGACACTGAAGCTCCATTGTTGTAAAATAAGGACATGATGATGATTACCAATGGTTTCTAGTACGTACATGTATATGTCATTGATAATGTCTTTTATCATTTATTTGAAAGTCACAAATGAAGAAGTCCTGAGCTTACTAATTTGATGTCATATTCTGTACATGTATCCACCAGACACCTTGATATCAGTCCAAAGGTAAAGGTCTGAGGGCTGTTATCGTAACGATGTGTGATGCTAGGTACCATATCAAAATAATGAAAAAATAATCTTTTAATCAAACACTTATAAATCCAGAGAGGTTTTAATTGAGAAATTAGACAAATTGTTATCTTGTGGAATCTTGTGCGAGGAAATAAATATCTTCGGTAATCATCAAATCAAAAACGTCCAATACGGAAAAAGGGGAATAACTCTTTCTCGTCTGGGCTGATATGTCAGAAAGGAGAATATTGATTGATTGATTGATTGATTGATTGATAGGTTTTACGTCCGCTTCACTACCGCGTATTTCGGTTATCCAGCAGACGAAGAACAGAAAGGAAAATGAGTAGAAGGGATAAAGTATGGAGTAAAAGAGTAGAGGAGGGGGATAGGTTAGAGAAGGGACCGTCTATCTATGTATATTAACTGTATAAGTCTAGTTTTTGTAAGACGGCTCTTATGCCTAATAATGCCTTAACCTAACACTCATGGTACAGCATCACCAAGTCAGGACCGGAAGTGAGGTACTGTGCTACCTCCAGCCACACTAGCCCCTGCCTATTCTATGAATTTGGCTTGTATATAAAGTTTGGAAGTCCATCTAAATGTCTTAATAAAGAGACCCTAGTTCTAACGGCCTAAAATTTTGGATACAGTTTTCACTATCCTCTGTGTAGGCGTTTACGCGCGTACT